GTATGGATCACTTGAGTTGTTACCAACATCTGGTGAAAATTTCATGTCATTAGCACCTCTAGTAATATATTTACTGAGAAAAATGGTGACGTGTTCAATATTTATTTTACCTGCTGTAACATTGATGTTAAATCGTATCAATCCTAGCATTACGGGATATTTTGAATTTGTTTCTCTCTTATACTTCCAATACACTAATCCAGTTCCAGAAGTACAATAATGCACCAGATACAGTAAATTGTAGACACTCATGTCAGATAACAATTTGGTTGTATCTCATTGCACAACTTCAGAATCGATTAACGCATGCTAGCATTTGTGTAGCATCCATATGTCATTCCTTAAAGTCAGCGTCCTGCATGTGATGTCACATCTTCTTCTGCACATGCGTGTTGCTTCAGGCCCATAGACTGTTCACACTCAAGTCTGATTGAGGTTGCTTTTAAGTTGTAATACTGTATGAACAAACACACAAAATAAAATTGGACCTGAGAGAAAAAAAAATGGGGAACTGAGCATTAAGACCTGTGGTATGAACTTCTTGCATACTACGAAAAACATTCAGCAACACTGCACACTTGTCCTCCTTTTGAGCCCAGATTCAGCTGTGGAGCTGTGAGTGGAGAACAGCGTGTGTGATTATATCGTATAGAGCTGCTGAGGGGAGTGTGTCAAAGCGTGCATGCCACACAATGTGCCTGGAGAGATTGATGTTTTTGTCATCCACCTGCTTCAAAGCCGTAAAAAGCCGGCTGATGCAAATAGAGAAAACCCTAGCAAGGCAGGCTCACAAACAAAAGAGGGGGAACCTCACTGCTCCTCTTTGCACATCTGTTTTGAAGGAATATCTGAGGGTTTCTGTGGTGACGCACACTGGGCTCTAATGAACACTGAATCTGAGTCTTGTACCTGGAAGTGGGTAAGTGTTCTCTGAGGCGACAACTTCAATCTTTATCTATGCTTATTTCTTTGAACATATATCTATATGTATGATGCATCGGCACAGTGACAATGGGAGAAGGAAGCGACTGCGGCACTCTTGCCTCCCTCTTTCTTTCTCTCTGGTTCACCTTCTCATCCCGGAGAGCAAATCGGCAGCTCGGCTACTTTTTTTTCTCTCTTTCTTTTCTGTCGGCGATCCAATTGCAAAAAGGACACAAAACTGTAGCAAAGGAGAGCAGAAGGGGCAGTTGCGTACAGGGTGGTGAGCTCTCTTGTCGTCCTCGGTCTGCTTCTCTTCCCCGTCTCTTTGTGTGAGCGCTCTGTCCTCCGCCGCCTCCAGTGCCGGGCTCCGTCTGAGAGAGGAATGATCTATGGTGCTTTGTTTATCACTGGCCATGGTCACTTCTCTGGAACGCAATTGGCTGGAACCACACCGTGTGGGTCCTGCACCCTGCGTCTCCCCCCACTCCCTCCCTCTTCTTCTCCCTCCCTCTCTGAGACGGGGTGCCTTGTCCGACGTGGCTTTTTATCTCTCCCATTCTTTTATTTTTTTCTTCTTCTTCTTCTTCGTGTTGTGTTTTGCATGTATTTGAATGATAATGGCACATATTGTTCCGTGGACTGCTGACTGATTGAGAGGCTTGACAGCAAAATGGTTCGATGGCATTCAGGAATTTGTGCATGCGCGGTTGCAGATTATTATGTAGATTCTTTATTTAGCTTTTATGAATTCTGTTTTTAGTCTGGTCTTCTTTTAAGGTTTTATCTTTAAAATAATTTCATGTGATTTCTAAGCATAGCTGGAAGGGTTCGCTGCTTTATAGACTTAGATTTCCACAAGTCAGAAGTGTTTTTATAAAAAAAAAATAAAACAATAATAATTTAAATAACTGCCACATCATTGAATTTTTTTCTATTAGCCACAGAATACCCCCTCCCCACTTCCCAGAAAAGAAAAAAAATCTTTAAAGATTTTAAGATTTAATTAAATTCACATTTTGAGTTAATCTGGGTACATTAAAGCTGCTCTCATTGACTCTGCAGGATTTTTTTTGCGTATATGATGTGCCTTGGTACAGATGAACAAAGCAGACATAAACCATTTTTTTCCTTCCGAGGATCTTTTAGGAGTGTGTTTACACGTGTGTGTGTGTGTGTGTGTGTGTGTGTGTGGTGTGTGAAGTCTAAACTCGGGATTACAGGCNGTGTGTGTGTGTGTGTGTGTGTGTGTGTGTGTGTGTGTGTCTGTGTGTGTGTTCCAATAAGTGTGAGCGTGGTGTGTGAAGTCTAAACTCGGGATTACAGGCCTTGCACCCGCTGAACGACACAAGCTGATGGGATTACAGGAGACGGGTTCCTGTCCTGCCCCCAACCCCTCCCCCCACTTCACAGGATTTGGAGTAAGCATCTATTATTTTAATCAAGTGTAAAAGAAAAAAAAATAAGTAGATTTTTAAAAACCTTAATTGCAAAATGTCACTATATATATTTTTTCTTTTAAAAAGGGAGAAAAGAATAATACCACCTTTTTTTCTTGAACAGGAATAAAAACCAGATTTTCAATTTCTGTGTATTTGATAGACACATTTTAGCAACAATTAAACTCAGCTGTATTTACGCTTACTTGTGCGCTTTAGTTGTTTAGTGATTTGAAATGCAAACATTTTGAACACACTAGATAAAAACAACACCCGGTTACTTTATTATTCAATTTTTATATAATTTTTTATTGTTTATGCTATTTGGTTAGACAAAAATTTGAACCTTTTAAAACCAAGTGAAAATACTGATGAGATTTTACTTTTAAATAACAACTCTATGTAATAATTTTTTTAGTATGGTTTCTTGTAGAATTAAATAAGAATCTCAGGCTGATTTGTACGTATTTCTTCAACTTGGTGTAAAACCGAAGTCGCAAAATATGTTCCAGTTAGTTTGTTGTTTCAAACCTTTCCTGTAACACCTGAATGTACTCTCAGTGAATCACTTTATTTATTGATAACATCCAGATCATTTTATGATCTAAACTAGAAAGTGTGTGTGCAGGGGGGAGAATTCAAAGACGCAGATGCAAACCCAAGTCCACTCGAGCTGATTAGTGTGTGAAGTGTGCTTGTTAGGCGTACGGTGAAGTGCTGCTTGTTATACTGTATATCCACCCCTCACGTTTGATTGTGGCTGGCACTTCACACACCGACGGCTGTGTGTGAAAACACCGATCGGTTGTGATCTGTCTTGTGACTAATGGAAATATCAGTGGCTCCAGTTTGAATGAAAATTTGGAAAAGAAAAAAAAAACATACAAAAAAAAAAAAAAACGAGCTACAGTACGTCTTTATGTTGAAAATGAATCCCACCTAATATTAAAATCATTCCATGTGTGATGAATACAGCTCTTTTTTTTTCTTTTCGCTTGTATTTGGCAAAGCTTTAGTGCAGCAGAATATGTTATTCCATATGCTGCCTTATTGGCCACGCTCCTTTGTAATGCATGCATTTTAACAAGAATTCCTCAGTGATTGTGTGATTGGATCAAATGCTGGTTCGAAAAAAACACAATGTGGAAAAAAAAATATGGGGGAGGGTGAAATAGCCTGCTGCGATTCTCCATCTGGCCCACGCAGCATCGGAATGGACCAGCCTCCTCCTTCATTTAGCCGGATCAGAACGAAGCTTCACTTTTACGGGATCAATTCGTTTTTTTTAAATTTTTTTATTGAAGTCTCGGTCTCAGTAGCTCAGGATAATACGTTCCACATTGATCCCCCACCCCACCGACCCCTCTGCCCAAAAAAAAGCTTTTATTGCCATCCCTGTCCAAGTGAGCCTTCTGTTTTAAAAGTGGTGTTGAGGAAAAGTGTAAAGATTTTACAAAGTGACCGGAGGACAAATCACCTCATAAACTGGAGTATTCACATTTCAGTGGGAAGAAAAGACGGGGGAGAAGAAGGAGCCGGAGTAGCCAGCAGGCGTTTTGAATATCATTACCGGCTTTGCACTGAAAACTAAAATCAGAAGCACTAGAACCGTAATCGGTAATTAAAACTGTCTTAGAGCGCCGAGGCTCATCTACCTGATCGGGAAACGAAAGTGTTTCTTTCCTGAACGTATGCACACACGATTGATGTTCGACATAAAGCTCGTCTTTGACAGTGCGTGCGTGAAAGTGATTTTAAGTCCACCGATGGAGTGGGAGCGGCGCCTGTTAAAATAAAAGCACATGCATCAGCTCTGTTCAGACTTGATCAATCAGTCGTGATTGAAAACGAACACGTCTCCATCATGTTCCCGCCGAACGCGTCTTGATTTTGTGGCCCGATCGGGAGCCATGTATTAAAATCAAAGCCCTGAAGCATGCGTGCCGGCCCCTTATTGAACAAATTTGCACCGGTGAAGCCAGCAGTTGAGGCCATTAACGATCTGGACCCACTGGGGTCTGCTGCTCTGCACCCACAGGCTATCTGCTCCATCCTCAATCGATGGCTTTTTATTAAAATTGTTTGCGAGGCGACACAGATCCATATTGTTTTGCCTCAGACTGGGCGGCCATGTGAAATATGTTGCACGGATTTATATAATTTTTTTTCCTCCCCCAGATGAGAGCAGAAAATGATTGGTGGATATGCATGAAGAGAAAAAAAAAAAAACAGCAGTGGTGCTTCGGCATTATTGGTATATCTATTTCAGCATTGATTTTCATAAGAGATGCATTTGTGATTATCTTATTTTCTCTTCCCTCAACAGGCTTGAATTACATATCATATTATCCCTGGTATTAAGGCAAAATTAATAACACAAGTAATTATTATACTTATGTGTAATGATATGCTGCGAGGGGCCTATTGATTCAGTGGAGATGCATGGAGGGGAGATGGCTCCAAGCTTTGCCTGACGACAGGCTCTGCCAGCGGAGCTTCGTCCTGCGTGAGGAGGGGAAACAAGAACCAGGAGGAGGTGCGGGAGACGATTCACCTCCACTTCATATGTTAAATCCAATCTGTGGCACGACTCGGTCCAAGGTGTTAACAGCGCTCAGAACGAAGTCCTGAAATATTTGCTTTTTTCTTTCGGAGTCTCGGAGTCCTGCTGACGAAAAAAAAGCAAAAACTCACTAAATGTGTTTCTCATTAAAAACACAAATCAGAACCGATGTGGCTTTCCGTACTTGTCACGTTGTCGGAACAGCAACTCTAGATGTTTCTTTGAATTTCCCTTCAGGAGCAAAGCACAGATGTTTTACTACATTTCAGATTTACTTGATTAGAGCACTTTAAGGTCTCGTCTCGGATTTTCCTCCTCAAGCTTTAGTCCGGATGCCTGATCGTTGTTTTTTATTTCATCGTATTTGTTTGGAGCGTTTCACTCGTACCTCAGCGTGGCGACAGTTCATGTTTATTCTTTACAGTTCTTTATTAACTTTGATCGGAGATTGAATTTGACTGGATTATAAAAGTAAATTATCTTGAAGCTGTTAGTTATTAACTCTTGTCATTGCTTTAAGTCTGACAGATGAATTGTAAAATAAGGGCAAAAACACAAAACTAGTTCTGATCAAAAAATTTTACTCACACTTCTGAAGGTAAAATTATGATGGTTACATTTTCTTTGTCATCCGGACTAAAAAAAATGTTCCATTTGTCCCCGGAGTTTGTTATTATTTCACTGTTTTGATATTTAATTGACTTTAAAAGCACAAATGTTCTAAATATTCAGAGTTGTTTCTTGTATTGGACCTTTCTGTCGTTAATTTTTCACTTCTGTCACTGAAAAACACCTCCAAACCCAGGCTGTGAGGCGAAGGTGGCTGCAGTTTTAAATTCTCACCAAAAGAGGGCAACATGTCGTTAGAATTGTCCCCCTCCCACCATCGCTGCCTCCTTCCACCGTCCAGTGTCAGGCCAGTGAACAGGGAAGGTGTGGGGTGGAATGTGTTTGTGTTGTTGTTGTTGTTGGGCTTTAAATGTGTAAGTAACAATACGTTTACATTTACGCCTGAAACGTCTTTCCCGGTGCCGTCACTCAGCCATTCAAAAGCTCTCCTCCTCTCCTGGCAACAAAGACGCCTGTCTCGTCACACGGCGCCAGGTAGAGGCGGCGGACTGGATGAAGTTCTTCACAGTCGAGGTGTCATCACAGAGGACCTCGCCTCGGTGCGGCGGCGAGCTTCAAAAGACTAAAAAAAAGTAGGGGGTGAAATTAAATATGCCACTCTCCCTTCTTTTCACTGGTGGTCCTCCATCCAGACCCTCCTCAAACCTGGGTTTGGGGCCCTAAGATGACAGCGTCCGGCATGAGTGCTTAGGTTTTTATATTTCTGAACAGTTTGGTTCTTTTTTTTTTAATCATTTGATGAGAAACACGTCGGTTTAGATCACATTCCAACACTTTTTTTTTACCTTCCCCTTATTTTTGGGGGGTTGGGGGGCTGTAAAAATCCCTCAGCTCATTTGTTCTCTGATGTGACAGCATTCATGAGAAGATGACAGATGTCGTATAGAAGAACAGCCCCCGCCCCCCCAGTAGCCACTCGAACTCATCCTCTCCCCTCAAACAAGTTTGGGAGTCAGCCACAGCTGCATTCCCAGCCCCCCCCTCCCGTAAGCCTGTCCTCCAGCGTGCCCCACCCCCCGCACCCCCTCTTGCGAAGAGAGCGATAGGCCTCTTTGGCACGGCGCTGCCTCTTTGTTCACTGCCAGGTTGACGGCAGGAGGAGGGCAGGGTCAGCTGTAATCCACTTTGTGGCCAGCAGAGGATGCTGAGTCCTGCGTGGCAGCAGGGGCAGAAGGCATGGGGGGGGGGGTCTCTTTCCCCTCTGATTAAAACCAGCTGCTAAATCCAACGCCGGCGTTCGTTAGCAGCCGCTAATCGGAGCAGGGTCGTATTACTCCAACCATAATTGGTTTTACATGCAGTCACACTGTTGTTGCAACAACTCTGATACACCCCGGTGTAAAACATCCAGGGAAATTCAATTATGTCCAACATGATGCACAAACTTGGATGCAAAACAAATCAACATTAAAGACTGGGGCAAAAAAAAAATCACAACATTGAAACATCTGTTTAGATCATTTTAGATGCTAAAATTTAAAAAATGGCCAATTAGACAGGAGCGCCAACAAAGAGTCTGGGATGGGGGGCAATGTCCACCCCTAGAAATCTGCTGGGCCTCCCTATCGACCCCCACCTGGCCACACGGATTGAGCTTTCTGAGCTTTTGTTTGGTGCTATTTTACAACTTCCCCTATTTGGGTTAAATAAAAACCTCAAAAATGTAAAATGATGATTTTGGCTAATAAGTTTTTATAAAACAATAAATAAATATATTTAATTAAAATAATGAGAACAAGAGGAGTCTACGTCGAAAATAAAGTCAGATACAAAAAGGCAATGTCCTTAC